AACTTGTGTTTGTATCGCGTTCTTCGCGCAGGACGGCATCTCGGAGCACTTAATAGTACGATGCTGAACAAGGTGGGATGTGACAAAGCCCACCAGCAAAGTCTCTCTCACTGTCCCTCGCACCATCGCTCCCGACCTGAGACCCAGGTTTGGCTGTTGTTCAGCGTCTTCGACCGAACCTTCGGTCACCCTCCTACGCCCTCCCTCCCTGATCTCAACCCCCAGCTCGGGTCCAGATCCCTGACTGTCCAGCGCCATGGGACGTCCTCCCGACGTGAAAAGCGCTGTGTAAATGTCATCTGTCGTTGTTGTTTGGAGTTTCGCCTCCTGAAATAAACCAGGAATTAGCAGAAGGTTCGGTGTCCGACCAGCAGGACAGTCACCGTGTGTGGAAGGAGGAGATAATCCTCTTATGTGGGATTATGTTGCACAGAAATCTGCTTCCCTTTGATTTAACGTAACAGCTCGCACACTGTTCAAAGCTCGGTACTACGTCTGCGTAGCGTGCAGAATGTTTGTGTGTGTGTATTGTTTGCCACTGGAATGTTTATTAGGGTTTTCTTTTTTTGAAGCCACTGATTATTAATCTCAGAAGTTGCACACGTCAGATGTGGGTTACTGAAGAACACACCCAGTCAGACAAGTTCCTCTTTTCATCGCTTTGATCATTTCGACTGATTGGGAGGTTGGATTTAGTTCAACATTTTTTTCAAAAAAAAGTGGCAGATGGATCGCAACAAGGAAAAGTATAGTTACCGTTCTGGTCTCCTCTCACTTTTTATTATAAACCAAAGAATTTTTGTTCTGCGACGTGAAGAAAGGAGTCTGAAGTCTCGTTGCCCGTGGAAAAATAAAAGGAGGGACACTTTCTGAAAAGAACAAGGAATGAAGTTTCTCAGCCTTCCGAAATGCTTGCTGAGTGAGACGTGGGAAGGGGGAGAAAATCAATTTTGCGTTGTTTCTTAAAGGGTTTCTTAATTAGGAAATGGCTGTGGGTTGGGATCATGTTTCATACTTTACTGTCACGTTTGCATTAAATATTTAGAGGAAAAGCTATTTCAAATTACATTTGCAAGAGCCGGGTCTGAAAAGACACTGGGATAAATTTTGCAGTGGTGCTTAACGTATTTTTTAATTAGGTAATGGATTTTAAATAATAATAATAATCCTCGCATTTGATACAGCGCCTTATCACTTCTTCGAAACGTCTCAAAGCGCTTCACAGAATATACTGTAAAGTGAATTGACTGTATATTCTGTGGGTGAAATATACTGTAAAGTGAATTGAAACACGGCAGGCAATTGCCCACAACAGTGTCCCACAAACAGTCGGGGTTGAGTGACCAAATTATTATTATTATTATTACTATTTTATGTCCATCACCTTTTTATGTTTGTCACATCACTAATGTCATGTGATGTGGAGATGGAGTTTTGGGAGATGAAAAGTTTTAGGATAACTGGACAGGGCGAAACATTGGGCACGTTTCTTAATTCCACACGGCTCTGTTTACCGAGCGGTAAGGTTGAACACGGTTGTTAGTTGATTGGCGGATCGCTTTTCCGCCAATCAACGCCACTTTACAGTACATTTTCCGGGGTCAATAATCCCTTCAAACACAAAATAATAATAATTTGCTCGTTCAAGCCATGACTGTTTGTGGGACGCTGCTGTGCGCAATTAGGTTGTCGTGTTTCAAGCACAAAATTCACAGTCATTTCACTTTACAGTGCATTCCGTGAGGTGCTTTGAGACGTCTCGAAGAGGTAATAAGGTGCTACATCAAGTGCAAGGATTATTATTATTATTTTTGCGTAATGTATGAACTTTAATTGTTTTATACCAGTGATATTTCTGCAGTTGGTAAAGGGGAAGAAGATTTGACTCTGGACGCAAAGGCTACAGCAGGAAAGTGCCTGGGAGCTGGAGGGCAAGTGCACCTTAAACACCACTAGACTTGTCACGTCTATTATTACCATTGACGGATAGTGTATTTTGTGCAACCACACAGAAAAACAGGACAATCTGTGAGCATTTCACTAGTCAAATGGTGCAACTTGACTGGCCTTTTGAGGTGTAAGAGGCAGAGAGATAATAACAATCCTTGCCTGTGATGCAGCACCTTTCACGTCAGGAGGACATCTGGGAACTGGATAAAGTGCCACCTTCCACAATTCCGCAGTGAGACAAAAATACCACAGACACATAATTACTGTTTAATGCAGAAAGTCCGCGCTAGAAAGTCTGTACTGACAGACATAGCAGAGAAAGACAGAGCGAGCATTACAGATCACCAGTTAGGTTCCATAATCTGCGTTCACTCTTATACTCTGGGCATTGGAGAACCCTTCACCTCTCAGGAGGTTACTTGGTTTGAAAGCATAACGGAGCCCTGTAGAGTAGTGGTTAGATCGCTCTCCTCGCCAGCGAGAGGACCTAGGTTCGATTCCAGGCCAGTCTGGGTGAAACCTTAGTCAAGTTTCTTCACTCCACACTCCTCTGTTTACCCAGAAATAAGTAGGAACCCGGTTGTTAGTTGAGTGGCGGATCGCTTTCCGGGGTTAATAATTCCTCCCCTCCCACCCCAAAGAAAAAAATGTGGTCGCTCAATCTACGACTGTATGTCGACTGCTGCGTTTCACCCACAAAATACACAGTTAATCCACTTTACAATATATTCGGTGAAGCGCTTTGAGACGTTCTCCATGACTATATCAAATGCAAGGATTGTTATTATGATAGATTTACCAGTGACAGGGACAGCTCGTGTACATCATCTCACCAAGATTGTTTCTTGTGGTTGTTTTGTATCCGTGATTATATGTTATAATTTGTCGTTTCTCACCAGTCACGTTAGTTTACTTGAACATCCAGAACTCTGCAGCCCGTGTCCTCTCCCGCACCAGACTCCGTGACCCTATCACCCCCATCCTCGCCCGACTCCACTAACTTCCCATCACTCAAGACGATACAGTTTAAGATCCTGGTCCTCACCTTCAAAGCCCTCCCATGGCCTCGCTCCCCGCTAACTCTCCAACTTCCTTACCCCCTCCCTCTGCTCAGCTTCACGTCCCCCGCCTCACCCGCCCCACTATTGGCAGGCGGACCTTCTGCCACTCTGCCCCCAACCTCTGAAACTCCATCCCACAGTCCCTCACTCACCCCCTCCCTCGCTCCCTTCAAGACCCATCTCAAGACCCTCCTAAACATTTGTTGTTGTTGTTGTTGTTGAACGTACACCTTCTTTGCAGTAAGTCTTATGCATTTGTTTTGCTGGAACATTTCAACGCTTTCGAAAACGGTTGCAAAACCCTCGAAAGGTGCAAAGAAAAACCCCGAACAATCGTTGCATTCATCTCATGCCTTATCATGTGAAAACGTCTCAACACGCTTCAGAGTGCGCTGGAAATGCAATGACTGTGAATCCGTAGGGCAAAATGGGGGAACAACCTAGACAGGGGCAGATTCTCACACGAAGTCACGAAGAGATTGAGGAATTTTTTTTGAACAGATGTTGGGAGAGAAACTGAAAGGATTCCACGTGACCCTTATCTCAACACGACCGGTCAGTCAATAGCGTTGAGTGCTTTTTCACCCCCCCCCCCCCACCCCCACCTTGCTTTTAACAGCTTGGGAAGCGTAACACCATGCGCTGTTGTGTTAATCGTCGAGGAATCAGGAAGTGGATTCCGATCAGCGAAAGCCAAAAAGTTCGTAAAGAAACACTACCAATTAGACTCCAACGCACTACAATTAGCAGCAGGTGCAGTCTCGCCTCCTGCAGACGTTTAAGTATGAAACCCTTTGCTGAATTTCAAAGTTTTCGAGGTAAAATAATGCCTCGCAGTGATGGGTCTTAATCTGGGTGGGTTTTTTTTAATATGCAAAAGCAGATCTGAGAAACTGTTGTGTGTGTCGGCTCTGTTGTTTTTGTACCTCTGCCAAATCGTTGCCAATTACACGTTCGAGGATGCTGTGGGCGCTGAAAGATGACTTGTTGGAAGTTCCTGTAGCTCCGTGGTTAGGGCACTGGCCTCTCAAGCGAGAAGACCTGGGTTCGATTCCCAGGCGGGGCGAAACCTTAGGCAAGTTTCAGCGCCTCGGAACATCCCCTTTGCATTTGATGTAGTGCCTTGTCATGTCGTTGAGACGTCTCAAAGTGCTTCACAGGATAAAACGGATTGACTTGTGGAGTTTGTGAGCGAAACGCGGCAGCCATTCGCACTACAGGGGTGTCCCGCTACAGTCGTGGATTGAGTGACTTTTTTTGGGGTGGGGGGGGGAGGGCGGCGAAGGGATCATTACCCTCAGGAAAGCGATCCACCAATCAACCGACTAACAACCGGGTTCCTACTTGCTGTGAACAGAGGCGTGGAGTAAACATACTTGCCTTAGGTTTCGCCCCACCCGGGAATCAAACCCGGGTGGTCTCGCTCGCGAGGTGTTCGGGGGTGGGGGGGGGCTAACCACTACCCTAGGAGACTCCACAAGCCCCGATCCCAATTCCCCGCACCCCTCCAAAATACATGCGTTCGCCAAATCCTCTTAAATATTCAAGAAAGGTGAAGTCAACGCCTGAATTTCCTGGAAATAAAACCTGCCCCGAGATGTGACTGTTTGCCCTAAACTGTTATGAGATGTTATATTTGCCAAAAAAAATGACTCAAAGATGTTTCTTGGGATTACATCATGTCGTTCGGTGTATTTTTTTAAAAAATATATATATATATACAGTACAATAATGGTGTTTAAATAGAAAGTGGTGTTTTTTTTGAACACAAAGGAAGCTGTTGACAGGTATGTATTTAGAGAACAATTCAATTTTTCTGAACTTCTTTTGAATCAACTGATCTCAGATGTGTCACCTTCTGTCTCTCTCTGTCTCTAACCCCCACCACACCCCCAACCAATTGTGTTTGTACAGGATTTGGCATGAATTTTTCTCCCCCGCTCCTCACCCCCAATTAAATAATTTCAACTCTAAGGTTTAAGTGACCTCAGAGTCACCTCTCTCGCATTATAGGAAATTACCATTGGCCACATTTAAATAAGATTCAGATCAGCCATTAAGATTTCAGTGGGAGGAGAGAGAGAGAGAGAGAGGACTGCCTGTTACTTTGGGTTGTGGCAGAGAGAGCCAGAGAGAAAGGTTCTGTGTGTGGATCTGCATCGTGTGGCGAGAAACATCTTAGTCTTAGAAGCCCTCGGGTCAAGATTGGGGCAGTTGGTGGGGTCCAGAAGGAGAACAATACAGGGGGGAGGGTGTGGGAGAGGGGGGTGAGATGGAGAGTTTTAATGTTAGAGAAGACTTCAGTCAGGACCTGTCCATCAACGCTGGTCCTTTGCTGGAGGGGAGTGAGGACAGTGACTCCACCACCCAGAAGGTTGACTCCTCGCAAAAGCCGCCTTACTCTTACGTGGCCCTGATAGCGATGGCCATCAAGGACAGTCCGGACAAGAGGCTGACCCTCAATGGGATCTACCAGTACATCGTGGCCAAGTTTCCTTACTACGAGAAGAACAAGAAAGGCTGGCAAAACAGCATCAGGCACAACCTGAGCCTCAACGAGTGCTTTGTCAAGGTGCCCAGAGAAGGGGCAGGAGAGAGAAAGGGCAACTATTGGACACTGGACCCTGCTTTCGAGGACATGTTCGACAAAGGCAACTACAGAAGGAGAAAGAGGGTCAAGAGACCTTACAGAGCCTCCAGCTCCCTCTTCCCCCCCGGAAAACCCTGCATGGGTTACTCAGACCAATTTTACTACCAGTCCCCCAAGTACCTCCAATCTCCCTTTGTGCCCACTTCCTGGTCGATGGGGCAAGGACAACCCAACCGAAGTATGACCTTCCACCAGACCTGCCAGGCGGCCAATGGCAATGTCAGCCCGGTACAGATGAACGGACTGGGATCTTCTTACAGCGCTTACAGTCGGATGCAAAGCTTGCCCTTGATGAGGGGGGCTACCAGCTCTTATAACGGGGTCGGCCAGCAGTTAGGTGGGGGGGTCCACCCACCAGCCAACGAATATCAACTGCCCTGTGCCCGACCACCAGAGTTATCTGTCGTGCGCTATTGGGAACATGGACCATTTCCTAGCAGAATGGACCTGTGAGAAAAACTCCTACCCAACAAGACTACAACCCAAAACTACTTTTTTTTTCCCCGCAGGACTTTCTATTTTCTTTTAATTATAACTATAATAATTGAAAAAAAGTTTTTTTTTAAAAAAAAGTGTACTTTTTCGAAAAAAACTTGTGTTTTTGTTTATTTTTTTTAAAAAAAATTAACTTTAAAAAAAAGGGGTTTTTTTAACCAAAAAAGGGAAACAAAAACCACAACAACAACTTTCGCAGAACTTTTCTTAAAAAAAAAAGATTTTCAGTGCGATTTTCATATTGGTTGGTGGTAAGATTTTCTTTTCTTCGAAAGTGCCAAAAAAATGATTTTTAAAAAAAAAAAATTCTACGCGTTTCTTGTTGTTGCAAAGTTTAGGAATGTTTTTTGGGGGAGAAAACATAGAATGGATCTGGAAAGTGCAGCCAAAACTATGTTCCAATTGTTGAGTAAAATGTTGATGTTAAGGTTGTTTGACTTTGTTGTGGTTAATGTTGGTGGAGAAATTCGACATTTAAAAGTACGTTGATCCTGTTTTTTTCCTGAGAAAGAGAAAAAAGAGAGAGAAATAAAGATGAATTATAGAGGATTACAGTACTTGTTTGCTGGATGAACCTTATTGAGTAAAACATGTTTCACAGTGTTTTAACGACCAACTTCTTAACGTTTGAGAAGGTTTGACCTGTTTGTCATTAGTTTTTGATCCAATATTTCTCACGCACCGAGAGAGAGAGAAAAGTTCCAATGTGTTTTTTTTTTAAAAAAATAAAAAGTTCATGATGTTCAAAGCAGATGAAGGCTTTGGACCAATGTTACATGTTTATACATAGCACTTTTGTGTATTTTTATACCAAAACAAATATTGAAATAAAGAGTTTGGTTTTTGCAAGACTTTCCTTCCAGTGGCACAGATTTTAATCTCAAAGCGTGTGTGGACTCTTCCAACTTATTTATTTCAGTTAAAACAACACTTAAGATAGCTCTTGGATTTAAATAGTTGGTTCCCTCTTTGCTGTGTGTGTGTATGTGAGTGTGAGTCTGTCTGTTTGCAAATAATTTGTCTCAAAAATTATTTATCACTTATTTGGGGATATTTCACTCAAGTCAGAACTAACCTTCACTTATTTTAATTATCTCAAAACATCCGAAACATCTGATAACTCAAGTTCTGCGAAATGTGGCGTGAAAGTCAAGAGTAGATTTGTACGGTTTTATGTTGGAAATAAAACCCAATTGGATCATACGTTGCTACATTGCAAATTGCCGTGTTCCCAAAACAGACTTCTGCTTTGGGAACACTGTGTTTTGCTCACAAAGTATTGCACCGTCAATTCATTTTACAATATATTCTGTGAAGCGCTTTGAAACATCTCGAAGACCCGATGAGGCGCTATATCGAATGCAGGGATTATTATTATTATATGGTGACCTTTTATTACCCTTTCAATGGGTAGAGCGAAGCTGCACTGACTCAAGGGGAGATATTATGTTCTGGCTTTTGCTGTTTTAAGTTGGAAACACTGAGCTGAACTTCTTTGTTGACCACAGAACCACATGTCAACTTAAAAAGGCTGTGCGGTTATCGAGCTGCACACAGAAAACACAGAAAGCTGTGTAGAAAGTGTTTACTCGTCTGTGTGCGAGTTAAAATCTCTTTATTTTCCCACCCAAAAGAGCAGGTATTTGCATTTTATACCCCCACTTCACTTAAAGATACTGATATCATACAAAACTTTCTGTTCTCTTCCCTTCTCTCCCTCACACTCCGAATTATGAATAATTTTATTTGAATGTTCAAAAATGTTCATTGCCTTCATGTTTGAAGGATTATTATGATTATCTTTATTGCCTTCCAACTCTATACCTTTACACATAACTTAAAAAAAAATGAACATTGAAGAATTGGGTTAATTTTCGAAGGTTTACATTGTCACTAATTTTCATTCCCAAACACAAAATCCTCACTGATTTTTTTAATCAACTGTACTATCATTGCTCGTCAAATAAAATATATAATAATTATGTTCATAAATATATTGAATACATGATCAATATCTTCAGCACTCACCAAGCGATTACTCATTTTAGTGTGTTTTGTATGGATTCTCCTTTGAATTAAATCGAATCAGGTTTAAATCACATGAAAATTTGGAAATCTTATTCAAATTTGGAAAGTACAGTAATTGTAAAATCATGTTTTCTTTTGCATTTGGTGATAAATGGTTCATTTTCCTTTAAAAATAGATTTTTTCTACAAGAAACAAATCTCAATACTTTTCAAAAGTGTTCATTATATTCATGTTTATTGCGTTCCACATATATAATAATAATAATAATAATAATCCTTGCATTTGATATAGCGCTTTTCACGTCGGGAGGACGTCCCAAAGCGCTTCACAGAACACACTGTAAAGTGAATTGACTGTATATTTGTGGGTGAACGCGGCAGCCAATTGCGTACAGCAATGTCCCACAAACAGTCGTAGATTGAAAATGACCAATTTATTATTGTTTTTGGTTTTGGAGGGATTATTATTAGGCTCTGTGTGGAGTAAGGAAACTTGCCCAAGGTTTCGCCCTCTGCCTGGAATTGAACTCAGGTCTCTCACTTGCAAAGCGAGTGCTCTAACCACTGAGCTACAGGACTCCAAAATATAATCCACATATACACATATATATAAAATTGTAAAATGTAAAATTTGCAAATGTATATGTGATTTTTACACACAACAAACAGAATTTCGTTCGGGTTTCAGATAATAATTCAGGTAATAATAAATAATAATATTTAATAGATATTTATTAATAATAAATAATAACATATAATAGATAAGAAGAAAAATGTTGGTGGCATGTGACTTTGAGAGAAATGTTGATTTGAAAAATGCTCACTGATTAAATTCAATTAAATATTGTTGTAACATTTTAAAAATATGTTTCATTCTCGCCTGTCTGGTGGGCGATAAGCCATAAGGTTCAGGAAACCATTCCTAGGTAATCCACATTCTTTAATTTACAAAAACACAGAGAAATAAGGCTTGAATTTCCAGAATAATAAAGTCTTAATTTACAAGATAACAGGAAATAATCTCAATTGGAAACTTGTCAGGTTAAAAGTTACATATTTTTTTAAATTAAAAAAAAGCAGATAATTGTAGCCCACAAATTCAAGGATTATTATTGTTAAAATGTTCAACTTTTGAAACCTTTATATAGTTAGTGGTTGGTTTAAAAAAATGTGTCGTAAAGTGGGATTGAATATAAAACCAGAGGTGTTTGAGCTGAATGAGGGAATTGGTGACTTGTGCCTTTGATGGTTGTGTTACAAAATAAAAAATATAGAAATAGATTAATGGTAAAAATATATCTAAGTGTTGGTTTGTTTGTTGCTGTTTCCTGAGTAGTTCCCTATTGCCTTATACCTGGTGTGTTGTGTATGTAGTTTTGTCTGTGAGCACAGTAGTGAAATGTTTCAAACCAAAACATAGGTCAATATAGTCAAAACAAGATTTGGGGCTCCAAAATGATAATTGCTCACTTTCTTTTTCTGCAGTGGTTTAATTTTCCTCCTCCACCCCCCACCCCTCCCTTTAAATACATTTAATCCCTTAAATATAATACCTGACATGTCATTATATGTATTATATTATTATTATATTATATTACATGACATAGGTTCAATGATCTCCTCAACACAACCAATGCAACAAACTCTTAATTGGACTGTAGAAATAGATCTAAGAGCAAAATCAGGAGTGGGCAAATGCATTCGTGTAAGGGCTATCGGATTATAAAGACGTGTTATCGAAAGATTTAGTGTGTGTAAGACATCATTTGCAAACAGTGTAATCAATTGCAACTCAGTTTCCCTGTTTTGAGTCCCTTTCTTGGTGTGTTTCCGCCCCAAATCTTAACTTTTTCCAATTTTTTTTGAGAAGTTTTTCCTCTCCACAGAGAACTTTTCTTCACAGAAAAGCCTCAACATCTCAGTATGCGCATTCCTAATTGCATCTGCTTCTCTCCTGGCTCTTTTCTGACCAAGCAAGTGTTTTGAATCCAAGCTGAAGTACTATTTTTTCTCTCTCTCTATCTCTCCGAAACTAAGTTAAAAGTGCTTTGCACACTGGATGCTGTGCCTGTACGAAATTCAATCCGTTTTATCTGGCTAACTCTTAACAAAATTCATTGCAATTGTGAGACATGTCGCTCTAAGCTCCGGTGTAGGTAACACAGCTATGAAACATGGTGCAAAATTGGTACAAAAATATGGATCTAATCTCTCTTGTTTCATGCTGAGAGTTTGTAATGAATTGTGTGACAGAAGAGGATGTGTGCGGTAACTGTTGGCGTTCAACTCATTTCAAGACACCTTTCACCCTGGTTCCCAGAGGTTTTGAAAGAAAAAAATTCTATTGGCATTCAATCATGTCGAAAAATATTTTTTATTTGCATATTATTATTATGTAAAAGCCTACATGTGCAATGCTTCACCTTATTTTGCATCTACTTAGCAAAATAGATACAGCAATAAGATATAACAATCTATATTTATTTTAAACACTAGGAAAACAGGAAGGAGAGAATGTTGGTCAGAGATTTCAGCATTCACACTCTGGATAAAATAATAATAATAATAATAATAATAATCCTTAGATTTGATAAAGCACCTTATCACGTTGTTGAGACATCTCAAAGTGCTTCACAAAATATACTGCACAGTGAATTGACCGAGTATTTTGCAGGTGAAATAAATTAAATATAAAGGCTTATATTTAAGTGTTGCCTCTTCACTGTTTATTACGCAGCAAAGATATTCAGTGAAGCGATTAAGCGTGGATAATTCGATTGAACACACGGAATATGTGCCCTTGAACCGGTCTAAGTGTTAAAATAATGACTGCATTTGATACAGCGCCTTATCACACCGTTGAGACGTCTCACAGCGCGTCGCAAAATATACCGTAAAGTGAATTGACTGTATTTTGTGGGCGAAACACGTTTTTATTATTTTTAATTATTCTGTGTTCCCATTGTTAACCTGTTGCCCAGA